ATGTTTCCTGGTAGGTCTTAACCAGGTGGTCTGGGGGTGCTCTTTGGCTGCTCTCAGCCCCTTTCCACCCTCAGCCCAGTGAATGTGTGGTTGAAGGACTGGGTGTTTATTGAAATACCTCCACTTCTGTCTGTCCATGACTAGATGCGTGTCTTAGTTCTTGTAGGCTGCTATAACAAAATGACAGAGGCTATGTAGCTTATGAACAACAGAAATTTATTCCTTACAGTTCTGGAGGTTAGAAGTCTGAGATCAGGGTGCCAGCATGGTCAGGTTCCGGTGGGATCTCTTCCAGGTTCAAAGCTGGTTACTTCTCTTGCTGTGTTCTCATCTGGTAGAAAGGAGGAAGAATCTCTCTGGGGTCTCTTTGATAAGGACACTAATCCCATTCATGAGGGCTCTACACTCATGACCTAATCACTTCCCAAAGGCCCCACCTTCAAATATCACCACCTTTGGGGATTAAGATTTCAACATATGAATCTTGGGGGAAAACAAACATTCAGAACAGTGTAATGGGGAAATGAGGGAGAGGAAAAGGAAACTTCCCTCCCTTTTTACTAGATAGGGCTCAGAAGTACTGCACTTCTGCATGAACCTAGAGTGTTATGCTAAGTGAAAACAAGTCAGACAGAGAAAGACAAATACCATATGATTTCACTTATTTTTGGAATCTAAAAAACAAAAATGAACAAACAAAAACCCAGATAGACTCTTAAATACAGAGAACAAACTAGTGGTTGCCAGAGGGAGGTGGGTGGAGGAAAGGACAAAATAGATAAAGGGGATTAAGAAATATGAACTTCCAGTTGTAAAATAGATGAGCCACAGAGATGAAAAGTATAGCATAGGGAATATAGTCAATAATATCGTAATAAATTTGTATGGTGACAGATGGTGACTACACTTATCTTAGTGAGCATTGAGTAATGTATAGAATTGTTGAATCATTATGTTGTACACATGAAAGGAATATAACATTGTATGTTAATTATACTTCAATATAAAAATAAATTAAAGTTAAAATTAAAAATAACTACAAAAAGAAAGGCAAAGTGAGAAAAAAAAGAGGACATCAAGTCATTTGTAGTACTTCATCCTTCATTTAATTTCAGCTGTCTGATCCAAGGCTGGATTATCAATAAAACTGTACATGTAAATGGTGATGTGGTTTTGGAGAGGTGGGGTTCAGAGCCAATGGCCAAGAAAGAATTCTTGAGATGTTTTTAGTGCAAAAATGTGTTTTATTATGGCATGGGGACAGGACCCATGGGCAGAAAGAGCTGCAATGGGGTTGTGAGGAGTGACTGATTATATAAGATTTTCTATCCTATGGAGGGGAGAATGAGGTTAGGGTTCCAGGAAATTGAGTCTATAGGTTTCTGGAGATTGCTCTTTTCTTGTAAATCATTAAGACAGGTGCAAACTGATGGAGACTCATGTCCTACTTGACTGTGATCTCTATCAGTTAACCATTTGTTTTTCCTTTTCTTTGTTCTTGGGCAGCCAGGAGTGCCTGAGGAATGTCACACATATCTCACCTGGGGAGTAATATTCCATTGTATTATTCACCCATCAGAAAGGATGAATACTTACCATTTACATCGATGTGGATGGAACTGCAGGGTATTATACTGAGCAAAATAAGTCAATCAGAGAAAGACAATTATCATATGGTTTCACTCATATGTGTAATATAAGAAACAGCACAGAGGATCATAGAGGAAGGTAGGGAAAGCTAAATGGGAAGAAATCAGAGAGGGAGAGAAACTATGAGAGATTCTTAACTATAGGAAACAAACAGGGTTGCTGGAGGGGAGGTGTGTGGGTGGATGGGGTAATTAGGTGATGGGCATTAAGGAGGGCACATGATGTGATGAGCACTGGGTGATGAATTATTGAACTCTACATCTGGAACTAATGATGTACTATATGTTGGCTAATTGAAATTAAAAAAAAAATCTCACCTGGGAGTAGGGTTGTGGGGTGTTAGCTTGTGCTTTGCCCTCAGCTTTCCTTTTGCTCCCTAATTGATGGCATCAGCAAAGCAGTTTAAAAATGTGATCAAAATAAAAGAATTGAAGTGGTCATCATGGGAAAAATCTGAGCCATGTTGCTGTTTGATACTGTTTTTATTTGAATTACATATGAAGGTAGAGATAGGAAACCATACTTTTTTTCAGTAATTATAAGTATTAAAGACCTTGAACTGATTTGAAAATACCTAAGGACCTAGAATTGAAAATGTCTCTGAGTTGGCACTCAGCCCTTATTTTTTACTTATACACTCTTAGAATAGCGACCTTGGTTTTATTTCTCAGATTAAATATAATAAATGAAGGCATTGAGAAGTGAAGAAATTTCTAGGTGATTTCCTCTGACAACAGGTGTGACAGCTGAGCTTGGGAGTGATGAGGGGATGGCAAAGCTACTAACAAAGGCAGAATTTAACAAGCACAGCAGTTTTGGACCATTTATGACAGGTGTTAAATTGTACCACCCACCTCTACAGTATCATAGAATAGCACAACATCAAAGGAAGGTTACATTTTATTGAGAATACTCAGTTCAATCACAGAAAAAAGTTCTATATATTATTCTTTTAATGGTAGAAATAACATTTAAAAATCATTTATAGGGTGCTTTAGATTTTATGAAAAATAAACTTACATATAGTATCTTATTTATTAAGAAATCCAGGTTAATATACATTAGAATAATATTGTCCATTTGGTGAGGAGAAGTAACCAAGGAAGGATTTCTGTAGAACACAGAAGACAAGACATACTTCGGGTTCCATCTCCAATCTGTGATGCTTGCTGTCTAGAAACCTGCCAGCACTGTTCTTCCCTTTAACTCCGTGCTTTCTGCTTTGCTTCTTAAGTTTTTGTGCCTACACCCATCTGATATTAAACCCACTGAAGCAGGAGGGCTAGGTTCTTGCCTCACAGAGTCAAAGAATGAATCTCCCAGACAATAAAATGATAGAGTTTTATTAAGCAAGGATACAGAAAGAGCTCTCATGAGTGAGAGGGATCTGGACAGGGTTGCCAACATGGGTCTCCGCTGACAGTCTTTTATTTAGAGCTGACCAAGGAGCTTGTGGTCTTAACATTCTTATGACATCTTGGTTTGAGTAAGGACTGGTGATAACATCTTTAATGGCTTACTTCTTTTCTAGGGTCTGGTTATTCTTTGTTGGTCATAGGTGACTGTCATAAAAAAAGACACCCTCCCCCTGAAACCTAGGGCAAGGTGGTCTGTTTTGTTCCCTTAGCTCTTGTTTCCTTACACCTCCACATTTTTGGAATTTCTGTGAACCTGACCACATAGCTCCCTACTTATCTCTCCCAATCTAGCCCTGCCGTTACTCACCACTACCAGACCAGCAGTCCTATTTGTGGCTGGCTTCTCCTCTTGGCAGCTCAGGGAAAACTCTCTGGAGAGTCAAGTTTTGCCTTTTCCAGAAGATGCAGCCCCTCCCAGTGGGTCCTGAGCAGCCCTGCTCTGTGGATTTAAGGAGCTTACTTCTTTCTTCTCTCTCATCACTCATCCCTTTAAGTTACTCTCCAACTTAGCAAGGACTTATGTTCAGAATTTGCTTCTTTTTTAAGCTTTATCTTTAGCTATGAAAATGGGTGAACTTACCAATTTTATTTCTATATTGTCACTGGGATGCCACTTTTCAATATCTGGCATCTTTCCTGTGGCTAACAGTAGGGTGAAATTTTCCAGTGACAGCATCTGCCTCTTACTCGTCTGTGGAAGGAGTTACAATGTTCTTCATCAGTCCATGGCTTGAGTCTCAGTAATAGCACTGTTCTTGAAGTGGTATTTTGGTTTTGGTTCCCCCCACAGTCCCAAATCATGGCAAATACACACACACATGCACACACACTCTAATTATTCTACAAATTATCTATTGGGGCTTGGGGTCTCTTTTCTTTTACCCCTACATTCAGACAAGTACACAAAGAATGGTTATACTTTCTTCAAATAATCACAATTTTCCTCTGGCCTTTATTTATTTCCACATAGAAGCCAAATGTATTAAATTTTTATTTCCTCCTCTGAAATTTCATGCTTCTAAAGCATGAGAGTTTTAGCCAGGAAATGATTTTAAGGCCAGTGGAATACTACATGAGCAAAGAAGAGTAACAGACAAGTTTCCTTTATTTTGGAAATGCAAAGCTGCTTATTTGACATTTATAATTTATACCCTACTTATTTCTAAAAAGATTTGAGATGGTGTGCCTGGGTGGCTCAGTCTGTTGGGTGTCTGACTCTTGATCTCAGCTCAGGTTTTGATCTCAGAGTCGTGAGTTCAAGCCCCATGCCCAGTGTGGAGCCCACTTAAAAAAAAAAAGATTGAAAAAAAGATTTGAGATGGCATACAGTAAAACAAGCACACAGGAAGGAGGGAGGGAGAGCAGGGATTCTGTGTGGTAAGGCAAGATAGGCAAAATTCAGTTGCAGTAATTTATTGGCACCTTTGGCTTACTTACAAAGACATTGTAGTTTGTGCCCTGAGTACCTGTCCTGGCAATTTAACTTCTAGAAATTGATTACCACTCAAAAACTAATGATATATTGTATGGTGACTAACATAACATAATAAAATAAAATAAAAAAAAAGAAATTGATTACAATGACCTGCAGCTTGGAAAGGCAATCCCAGCAAGAGGCTTGCTAGATATCTATAGAAGAACAAGTTATTACCTTAGCACAAAGCTCTCAAACTTGTATTGTTTTCTGAGTTTTGTATTCTGCCATTCTTTTTAATACATTATTTTATCTCTCTACTTATAAAAGTTGTACCTACAGCAAGACTCTTCACACAGGACTAAGTTATTACAAACACTAGTTAGTGGGATAATCCTTGTGCACATTAAAGAAGGAAAAGGGACAGTTGGAAAGCATTAGCATTTGTTGGTGTGTCATGTTATTCTGTCACTTGACAGTATTAACTCCATGGCTCTTAAAATCAGGGACCAATAATTCTACTGGTACCTGCTACAGAAGATCATCTTTTTAAATGCATCCCTGAGTTCTGGGCTCCGGAAGGCATATATAAAGGGGTCAATGACTGCATTGCACATGATCAACATGCCATTCACCTGGAAGAGGGACATGTAGCAGGCACAGTAAGGGTTATTTGGGCAAAACGTCATTAACAGGACATGAAGGACAAAGGGGGCCCAACAGAAGATGAAGACCCCAAGCAGGATGGTCAGCGTGATGGCCCCTTTCATGTTGGCTCTGGGAAGGGTCAAGATCTTCCTGGCATGGGAACGGGCAAGCAAGAACATGTGCACATAAAGGCACAGGATAAAGACCAACATCAGAGGGAACAGCGACGTGAAGGTGATCACTGTAGGGATGTGATGAGAGAAGATCACCATGGTAATGGCACTGCCTGTGCAGCCAGTCCAGGTGACTATTAGGACAACAGTGGCACGGCGCATGGTCACAATGCTGTGGTATTGCAGAGCATGGAAGATTGTGAGGTAGCGGTCAGCTGCTATCATGGACAGGCTGAAAATGGAGCCAAGGAGGGAGAGGATGAACAGGGAGTCGATAATATCATCTGCTGTGGTTTCAAAATTGCCACGAGGCTTGAGATAACCCATGTTTCTGAACATGATCAGGATGTTTTCCAGGATCTTATATAGGCTGCCCAACATATCAGAAATGGCCAAGCTGCAAATGAAAAAGTACATGGGTGACTGGAGATTCTTATTCTTGATCACAGCCAGAAGGACCATCAGATTTTCCAAAACCCCGATAATGGATATTATAAAAAATATCTCTTCTGGCAAAACCACATGAGGACAGTCTGAATTATTTCTTCCCGTATCATTGATGTTTTCATATAGATTGATAATGTGCTTCATTTCTCCCACTAGTGGTTAAGACAAGGGTGTTACTTTGACTTGACAGAATGCTTGATTGATCTTCAGAATATTTTCTTCTTTGTAGTACTTGCTGGAAGTCTGAGGTAAAAACCACCAGGCCACCTAAAGAATATATAGCAACATCAGTTGCAAAATAGTCTAAATAAAATAAAAACTAAGTCACGTTATCTTTAAGAAAGCTCTATTGCTTCTATGAAATATGATGGTGTAGTATTTAAATAAAGCAGTTTACTGGACCCTCATTTTAACTTCTCTACATCTTTAGTGAAATTTTAAGCCCAGAGATAAAAATAAAGATTGTCCTTTGTCCTCTCCCTTTTCTACACCCCATCCTTCTTCTCATGAATCCAACTGTGTGTGAGATAGATTAAATGAGATAGATTAAAATGAAAAAAAGAAGTAAAAGAAATGAAAGGCATGTGTAGAAAAAGGAAACACACAACTACCCTTCTCTGATTTGGAGGTGGTGCCTGGATTCAGTGAATTAATGAGATGTTTAGGTCCTTTCTATTTTGCTATTTGTCTTTCTGGATCAGTGCTGACCCTACAGCTAATGACATAATGGCAATAGTATTGATGTACCATCCCCAAAATATGTGTTATTATTTCTGTTTCAAAGATAGAACTCACAAAAGTGGTATTTCTGGAGACTCCCAATAATTTCAAAGTGTTGGAGTTGAATTATGGCCCCAGAAGATCCAGTTTTCCTCAAGCAGAAGGGGCTGAGTAGATCATAATTGAACAACTCTGAGAAGTCTGCTTCTGGTGAGAGCTTGTGGAATTTTTACTGTTTTAGTTTCCAGATGGCTGGATACAGGCAGTTTTATGAACTGTGTAAAATTTGCCTTTGCTGAGGTGGTGGTTTTAAAGGTATGATCACAGATTTTTTTATACTTTTCCCTTCAAGAGATGGAGTTTAATTACCCTTCACTTGAGTGTGTGGGAAGTCAGTGACCATGTTGTAAGGTGGTCCTGGGGAGAGTGAATCTGGGAGTGTAGATTCTTTTTTTTTTAAGATTTTATTTATTTATTTGTCAGAGAGAGAGACAGACAGCATAAGAAGGGAGAGGGGCAGAGAGAGAGAATGAGAAGCAGACTCCCCACTGAGTAGGGAACCTGATGCAGGGATCCATCCAGGGCCCTGGGATCATGACCCAAGCTGAAGGCAACCGCTTAACCTACTGAGCCACCCAGGCATCCCTAGGAATGTAGCTTTTGATCAAAAGTTCACAAGGCACACATTACTATATTATAGTGACGTTTCTCCTAGAAAGGAACTAATTTCATTATGAAAGACTGAGATCAGAGGTCAAGTATTAAGGTGAAAGTTTATGAGTTAGGTAGATCAATGTTAAGAAAGTAGTGAAGTGACAGGTGATAGCAACTGATAAGGTTCTACCTAGGCTAACCACCTTGTCTCTGTTTGCCTGGGACTGAGAGGTCAGTGTCCCTGGCATCTTCCTCAGCCCCAGGCAAACCAGGATGCTTAGTCACACTAGTTCCACCTACTTAGGCCCTGGGAAGTCTGTATCCTGTCAGTGTGCACTCATGTGTCTACATCTGTTGGAGAGGGTGGGGCCAATGATGGTTAATTTTATGTGTCAACTTGATTGGGCCCCAGGTGGCCTATATTTGTCAAACATTACTCTGGGTATATCTGTGAAGGTGTTTTCAGGTGAAATTAACACTTGAATCAGTAGACTGATTAAAGCAAGTTGCCTTCCCCAGCAGGCCTTATCTAATCTGTTGAAGGCCTGAATAGAATAAAAAGCCTCCCATGAGTAAGGGGGAACTCCTTCTGCCTGACTGCTGAGATGGGTCATTGGTCTTTTCCTGCCTCTGGACTCAAACAGAAACATCAGCTCTTCTTGGGTCTTGAGGCTGCAGGCTTCCTGACTGGAACTACACCATCAGGTCTCCTGGGTCTCCAGCTTGTGGACTGTAGATCTTGAAACTTCTCAGGCTCTATAATAGTGTGAGCCTATTTCTTATAACTGCTTTCTTTATCTATCTATCATCATCAGCTATCTATCATCTATCATTTATCATCTATCTATCATCTGTCTATATCTATCATCTTCTGTTGGTTCTGCTTCTCTGGAGAACCAAGTAATGCAGGGCCCAAGGTTGTGTCCACCATGAACTGCCTATGGAGATGCTGTCTGGAAAGAGACTTCTGTCTTCTACCTGAGTGCATTAAGTGTGATCAAACTTGGTATATATATTCATTTTTTTTAAATTAAAGTGTTGTTGACATACAATATTATATTAGTTCCAGGTGTACAGCATAGTGATTCAACATTTATATATATACAAGGCAATTACTACAATAAATCTAATTACAGTAACAGTTGTTACATATTACTGACTATATTCCCTATGCTGTACATTGTATCCTTGTGTCTTATTTAGTTTATGAATGGAAGTTTGTACCTTGTAGCCCATTTTCCCTATTACTCCCCTTCCCCTCTGTCAGCCACCAGATTATTCTCTGTATCTGTTTTGTTTCGTCTGTTTGTTTTTTCAGATTCCATACGTAAGTGAAATCGTACAGTATTTGTCTTTCTTTGTCTGATTTATTTCACTTAGCATAATGCCTCCTAGGCCCATCCATTTTGTCACAAACAGCAAGATTTCATTCTTTTTTTATGGCTGAGTAAGATTGTATTCTCTCTCTCTCTCTTTCTGCTACATCTTTATCCATTCATCTATTGATGGGCACTTAGGTTGCTTTTGTATCTTGGCTATTGCAAATAATGCTGCAATGAACATAGGAGTACATGTATCTTTTCAAATTAGTGTTTTCATTTTCTTCAGATAAATACCAAGAGTGGAACTGCTGGATCATATGGTACTATTATTTTTAATTTTTTGAGGAAACTCCATAATGTTTTCCATAGTAGCTGCACTGTTTTGTATTCCCATCAACAGTTCAGGAGTGTTCCTTTTTCTTCACATCCTTGTTAACATTTGTTATTTCTTTTTTTTTTTTTTCACACTAGCCATTCTGTGAGGTGTGAGGTGATAACTCATTGTGGTTTTTATTTGCATTATCCTGATGATTAGTGATGTTGAGCAGTTTTTCATGTGTCATTTGATCATCTGCATGTCTTCTTTGGACAAAAGTCTATTCAGGTCCTCTGCCAAATTTTTAATTGGATCGTTTGCTTTTCCATATTGAGTTATGTGAGTTCTTTATATATTTTGGATATTAATGCCTTTTGGTTACATCATTTGCAAATATCTTCTCCCATTCAGTAGGTTGCCTTTTCCTTTTGTTGATGGTTTCCTTTGCTGTGCAAAAGCCTTTTCATTTGATGTAGTTCCATTTGTTTATTTTTGCTTTTTTGTCCTAGCCCTAGAAGACAGATCAAAAAAAATATTGTTTAGACCAATGTCTAAGGGCTTGCTGTCTAATTTTCTTCTGACAGTTTTATGGTTTCTATTCTTATGTGTAAGTCTTTAATTTATTTTGAGTTTATTTTCGTAAATGGTATAAGAAAGTAGTCCAGTTTCATTCTTTTACATATAGCTGTCCAGTATTCCCAATACCATTTATTAAAGAAACTTTATTTTTCACACTGTATATTCTTGCCTCCTTTGTCAAAGATTAACTGATTCATATAAGTGTGGGTTTATTTTTGGACTCTGTTCTGAGTTCCATTGATCTGTGTGTCTTTTGTGCGTGTGTGTCAGTACCATAGTATTTTGATTACTATCATTTTGTAGTATGGTTTGAAATCAGAAAGTGTGATAACTCCAGCTTTGTGCTTTCTCAAGATTGCTTTGGCTATTTGGGTCTTTTTGTATTTCCATACAAACTTTAGGATTCTTTGTTCTAGTTCTGTGAAAATTGCTGTTGGTATTTTGATAGGGATTGTGTTGAATCTGTAGATTGCTTTAGGTAGCATAGACATTTTAATAATATTAATTCTTCTAATCCATGAGCATGATATATTGGTATGTTCTTTCATCATGGTATATTCTTTTATCTATGTTTCATAGTTTTCAGAACATAGGTCTTTCACCTCATTGATTAAATTTATTCTGGTTTTTTTTTAAGATTTTATTTATTTGATAAAGAGAGACACAGCGTGAGAGGGAACACAAGCAGGGGGACTGGAAGAGGGAGAAACAGGCTTCCTGCAGAGCAGGGAGCCCGATATGGAGCTTGATCCCAGGACCCTGGGATCACGACCTGAACCGAAGGTAGATGTCTAATGACTGAGCCACCCAGGTGCCCCCAGGTATTTTTTTTATACAATTTTGAATGACATTGTTTACTTCATTTCTCTTTCTGATAGTTTATTAGTGTATAGAAATACCACAGGTTTATGTATATTAATTTTGTATCCTGCAACATTACTGGATTAATTTATTAGTTCTAATATTTTTTGATGGAGTCTTTAGGGATGTATATATGTAGGGATATATATATATATATCATCTGAAATAGTGACAGTTTTACTATTTTTTCAATTTGGATGTCTTTTATTTCTATTTCTTCTCTCATTGCTGTAACTAGGCTTCTCAATACTATGTTCAATAAAAGTGGCAGGACTGGATATTCTTGTTTTGTGGTATCTGATCTTAGGGGAAAAGCTTTCAGCTTTTCACCATTGAATATGACATTAGCTGTGGGTTTGTGATATGGCATTCTCTTCTATATCCACTTTGTTGAGAGTTTTTAATCATAAAATGAATATTGAATTTGATAAGATGCTTTTTCTGCATCTATTGAGATGATCATATAATTTTTATTTTTATTTTTATTAATGTGGTAAATCACTTTGGCTGATTTGTGAATGTTGGACCATTCTTGCATCCTTGGAATAAATCCCACTTGGTCATGTTGTATGATCCTTTTATTGTATAGTTGAAGTAGGTTTGCTAATATTTTGTTAAGGATTTCTGTATCAATGTTCATCAGGGATATTGGCCTATAATTTTCTTTCTTTGTGATGTCTTCAGTTTTGGTA